AATAATAATAATAATAATAATAATAATAATAATAAAACTGTAAGTGTGGGTAAAAATGTGCAATAAATTCGTTAGATCCAAGTTCGGCGTGAAGTTATTTGTCACGTCACACACGGCGAACACATAACGATATCATATACTGACAGAAATACATAAACAATGAGAAGCTTAAATTACTTCTGATATTCTTAAGCAAATAGAAAATGTGTCATTACACACATATAACAATGTCAACACACAGGCAAACAATGCTGCCCAACTTACAGGAAGCTACACTCTTATACACAAAAGCTATAATACCATGATGTTTTCTTCTTTATAAATGTCTTGTGTTTTGTTTCTTCACTGCTGTGTTTTGTAAACAAGACCAGCAAAAGATAACGGAACTCTGATTTAAAAACCCTTTCAAACATTGCGCATCAATTACAGGATATTAATGCATTAATTAATGCTTGATATTTCCAATTTATGACTCTCTGCCATAGAAGGTACTATACTGGGGTGCACAGGTAACGTATAAATACATACCCATGTAACAAGAGGTCCTGTCATGAGATCTTCAATCTCTGCTGCAGTTGCCATGACAAACGGTTGGTACTTATTTGTACGAAGGGCTCTGACCTTATCTCATACAAAATAATGGCCTTTTTGGAGGAGGTATCTTCAGCATTCTGGAATCGAAATTATCTTCTTATGGTACATATGTGGAGACTCATACTACATTTTTAAACCTGAATCATTCACACCTCTCACCCTTTACTCCCAAGACATATGTAGTGTGCATATGCCTAATATTACAATTTAAATATCCGATTTGGCTTCTATATTACAAAATTTATAAACAGCTTGAATATGTCAAGGAAGATTTACATGTATGTACAACCAAGATGTCTGCAAAATATTGTTAAATACTATTTCGTCTCATAATCATTACGTACCTCTTCATATGAAATTGAAAATAATATCCTATTCACTCACATAATTCATTTACGATTGTAACAACAAAAGCACACACCACAAGGACGGATACTACACCTCTGTCATATCGGTCATAGCCAACTATGTTTCAGTGGAAAGTTTGTGTACAAAACGTCATGGCCAACTTAGTTATACAACTTGCGGAGACTGTGGGTTGCTGTGGATACTATTTAAGATACATGTACAGGTTGCTATTGTCTGGAGATTACAAGTTACAGGAAGCTAATTTATGTAACCTACACGATGACTGAGGTATGAAGTATAATAACGATTTAGTCATGGCTTAAGGAATTGTAGCAGTGTATATGGTTTTCTGTTAGTGTCATGCCAAATGCTATATAAGAGGTTATGATTGGCGAATACAATGCATGCTGAGAATATATGTTTGCTGCATGTAGAAAAGCTTATGATGCGCAGAGAAGATATGGCCTGTATCGGAATAAGTTATTTAATACGAAACAACCAGTTATCTTAAATTTGTTCATGGCGACTGGCTACGGGCTGGACGACCGAGGGGTCGGAGTTCGAACCCCGGTAGGGTTAAGAATTTTCTCGTTACCACTCCGTTCAGACCGGCTCTGGGGCTCAATCAGCCTTCTATCCAATGGGTAACGTGGACTCTTTCCCAAGCGGTAAAGCGGCCGGGGCGTGAAGCTGACCATTCAGCTCGAACTAGTGCCAAGGTCAAGAAATCGTAGATCCATACATTCACTCCCCCATACATCTTCATGGTGTAGTGCTTAATTAGTTAAGCACAGGGACAACTTTACTGTTAACATACACAAGTTCACACCACTTAACTTCCCCCACATAATGTCATGGTATTTGCGATTTATTTACAGTTGCAGACTTTAATGGGAATCATCCTACTTTACTTATGGAGGCTGACCATTGTATTTCGAAGAATACCCAATGACATTAAGTGGTTAAACTGCAGAATATGAATTGAATCGCAAGTAATACCATGCTCCAGGGCTACTTTTGTCTTTCCTGGTTTTGTAGTTTTGTTAGTCTGGATGAGAAGCTTAGCCTTTCTTAGACCCAAACCATGCTCTACACTTTTTACCACACACATAGAATAATAATGTGACCCGATTGCTGAAAGCCATCAGAGACGGCAGTTGCTAGGGAATGGCTCCTTAGACACAACTGTTTCTAGGTGATAGCTCAGTAACCACTCTCCTTGTCAGCTGTGATTTCACACAACAATATAGGAATTGTGGGAGCAGTGTTCTCTAAGTTCATACAGAGGTTACGTCTGGAGAATTGAAATACAGAAGTTGAGAATCTTGAGTTTGTGGTTAGGGAGTGCAGATCATGAACTGTAAGGTCATGAGGAATAGTTCTTATTAGAAGACCGTGACCAGGCAATAACTAGTGGAAGCTGTACAAAGCTGAGAAGACTAGTGTGGGTTATAGTGACATGTGCAGCATTATAGTTGCATGTAGTTCCGAGTTGTAAGTGTGCAGTAAATCCGATTACTAATCCAGCCTTGTGCCTAGTCACTTTAACACATGACAATATCTTCTCTATATAATAGTCAAGAAGCTGTATCACTCTAATACAATTGTAACATTTGTCTGTGACAGGATGTACAGAGGCATTCAGTGCATACGTTGGTGTTCCGTTCCCTGAAAAGGAGCCATGATATGTTTCTATCAAATCATGGATTTCTTGCACCAATTGATGAAAAGGCGTAAGTAATTACAGTCAGAAGCTGAAAAGTATTTACCCTTTCACTGTATCAGTGTGGTGAGCTTGGCGGGAATTGGAAGGAAGGATTATGTCTGCTGGTACTGTGCAGAAATTTTAATGGAAAGACTGTGGTAAACTGTGAGAAACCCATCAAGATAGCTAGTTCCTTAGGCAAATTTTAAGTGGATAATTCCCAAATATTTATGCTATCTTTGGTCATATTTGTTGTAGCGCTGGGAATCAGACCTCTGCCTTAAGTTTGGAACTGCATGCAATCACAAACTTAGTCACTCTTTCCGTAATGTCCCTGTATGTAGTATGAAGACTGAAGAATAGAATTCTGAGTGCCTAAATATTTTGTTTCAGTGAGAAAGTGAAGAAAAGTGTAAAAGCAAGAGACAGTTATGGCTTAGTATTTGACCGTGTAAAAAGAAGTAATGCTATGAAGTTGCACAATGCAGAACGAGGAGACCTGAATCTTCAGCATGGAACTGTACAAGGTATTTTGTTTATATTTCTAATAGTTATTTCAGTAAGGCAAATGTAGGTTTTACCCTGTTGCATTCCAGGTCATATTGTGTAATTAGGACAAACTTTCTTTCACTGGTGGAAAGCCACATACAATTTAAACTGTCAGTGAATGTTAGAAAAGGTTTCATTCCACTGATACTGTCAAAATCTGTCAGCATTCAGAACAGCTACTGGGTCAGTATTTCTAAACAAGACTAAAGTAATTATGTGATGTGATTATGTGACACCATTTGTGGCCTAGTTTGAGATATTCTAGTATGTAGGGACTGAAGAAAAGACAACCATATCAAAATGGCTAGGGCAATATTTTAAACCAGGACCTTTCAGAGACAAAGCAGAAGAACAATTAAAGTGGAAGTCAAAATTTATAAAAACTGCTGTCTGGGATTATCTGTTAAGACACCTGTTCTGTTAGTATGCACTGTTCTTCAAGTTCTGATACTGCTGCTGCTGAGCAGATTGGTATAGCCATAACACTCTAGACTTGTATCTGGGAGGTGCTTGTTTCGAATCTTGGCTGGGATACTGGCTATCCTGACCGAGTTTCTTAATGGCTTTCCTTAGTACATCCAGACAAATGCTTGGATAGTATCATGATTGGCTCATGACTGCTTATTTCCAAGCTTTTGTCCAATTCATTATCCACCAGTCATTCTAAATTTGGCACTACCCACTTTCTGATACTGACAGTGTCATGAAATAAACCATAAAAATAAAATATATCACCTTTTGAAGCATTAGTGTAACCCATATATTTTCTCTTTCACCATTTTAGATTTGTAAAATAAGATGAAAATGGGGTAAAATTATGTAAAGGAACATGATATGCAATATGTATTTAAGATGCTCGTTTGTTTATTTAATTTATCTTCTCGGTGCAATGAATTGCATTTTATTTATGGAACTCTTTCTGAGTATGTAACTGGTTTGTGTTTAGATAATGTGAACTACACTGGTGACACTGCAGTGGCTGGTGAAGGAGCTCTTGTCCCAACCATTGCTGGGCCTGGTGGTGGTCTGGTTCATGTACCAGCACCTGCAACTAGTAACACAGTACAAAGCATTATACCTCGTCGAGCCCCTGCCATGCCAAAACCAAAGTGGCATGCTCCGTGGAAGTTATATCGCGTGATATCAGGTCACTTAGGATGGGTACGCTGTGTGGCAGTTGAACCTGGCAATGAATGGTTTGCGACCGGTTCCGCTGACAGAGTCATTAAGGTAATGTGTTGTTCTGTTAAAAGTACCATGACTCATTAATGTTCCCAAGCATATTCTTAATGTCTGCAAAACTAATATCAAGTCCCATTGACTGTCTGGGATATCCTATTTCAGATCTGTTGTCAATGATTTATAAAATCGGCAAATTTAGTATATGCATAGTTCATGTAACACAAACGTGTTTCTGTAGAGGTGTACTTAATGTTTTAGAACACTAAGAGATCACTGAAGATAATCAGTTTATTTAATGCTTTTTAAATGTTATACTTTTCCATGGATCTAAATGAATTTGCAATTGGATTCTTTACTCATTTGAGAAGAGAGTTTTATTTCTTACATGACACATTTCCATATAGAAATTAGCTAACCAATTATGATTCCTCTGACTTGAAGGCCATAACAAACTTCTTAATTTTCATAAATATTAATAAATAATAACAACTTCATATAGAAGTTACAGAGTTTAATGCGTGGATTATGTTTTCATATTGTAAGCCTTATACTGAGTATAAAGAATGATCTTGTGTGCTAGAAGCATTCATCTTTCCACTGGTCCTACCAAAGAACTCTGTGTAATGGTAAATCCTCCTGCTTTTTAGTCAGGTTTCCTGATTCTAATTTCAGCTTGGAGACCAGCTATTATATTCCCCCCTGGTGATTTCCCATTTCTCCAAGGAAGTGCCTGAATGATAACTTAATTGCACAGCACTCTTCTCCATCATATAGACTTCGTAGCTGATAAAATACCATTAAAGAAACCAAGAGGGAAATCCACTGGTTAGATGTATGCAGATATATTCAATTATGAAAGTTACACATAATTTGACATGTCATATGTATGTGAATTTTTGCATATATACTTTATATATATATCATTCAAATGTATCTTGTACGATTTGAAGCTCTCACAGCATGACTATGAAAAGTATAATCTTTTGGGTTGTAATGCTGTGTAGTTTGGTAGACATCTATTGAAGTTTCAGAAGATTCTTACCAAACCACACGGCATTACAACTCAGAAGATTACACTCTTCAAATTCATCTTGCTTGAATATGGAATGAACCGAAGTTTCAGGCACCTGTATATGCTGTAAGGAACTAAAATGTGAAGCTGACTTTCTTACAGTGAATTCAGATTGATTGCTTTATTTCTTCACAGATCTGGGACTTGGCCAGTGGCCATCTGAAAGTTTCATTGACTGGGCATATCAGTAGTGTTCGAGGGTTAGCTGTCAGTGCAAGACATCCTTATCTGTTCAGCTGTGGTGAGGATCGGCAGGTCAAATGCTGGGACCTAGAATACAATAAGGTGAGAACATCAAGGAAGAGTGGCAGTAAGGGAAAGGAAGTAACTCAGAATGTAAAATGTATGAAAATCAGGATTGAAATATAATGAAAACAGAGGGACCTAAAGCAAGACATACTGAATACTGAAACAAATCATAAGAGTCTTACATTGTGTCATGAGATCATCACGTGTCTGGAAGCAAGCAGGTACTGCATTATGGTAAAAGGTGGCTTCCTTGCTGCTTTCTTTCCTCAAAGTGCATAAGCTTAACACACACTGTGGAGGTAACATCTATCCGTTACTATGAGGTTAGGACAGGAATGATACTAAGCTATGAAGAGCAGATGAAACAATTAGTAGGTGATGGTTTGAACTGATATAAATGAGTGAATTGGGCTGTGGATTCTCAGGTTTCAGTTTGTAACCAGAAGCAACAAAGACATCACAACAAACTTTGTCCTGTAATTTATTTCAGGTAATTCGCCACTATCATGGACATCTTAGTGCTGTATATACCCTGGCACTACACCCAAATATTGATGTTTTGGTAACAGCTGGTAGAGATGCAACATGCCGTGTCTGGGATATGAGAACCAAGGCAAATGTTCATACGCTCACAGGACATACAAACACAGTTGCTAGTGTTGTGTGTCAAGCTGCTGAGCCACAGGTTAGTCTGTGTTAAATATAGGTCTCTTGCTCTAAGGCAAGAATATGAATTCAGGGTGTCTGAGGAGAATATTCAGATCTAAGCAAGTCAAAGCAAAAGGATGATGCAAAATACTGCATATTTGTATACCTTGCCACACACTATTAGGATGATCAAATCAAGAAAGGTGATATGGGCAGCAAGTGTATTATACACAACAGAGAAAAGAAAAGTTTTTGTGAGCACCATTTGGAATACCTAGATGTAGATGACACAATAGTATTAAAATGGGTCTTATAGAAGTAAAGGACCAATAACAGATTCTTGCTAATTTTTGGAGGACTCTGCTGCTTGGAGTTCGGTAGTTCAGAGCTATAGGTCATAGTTCCACTTTCATATACAGTGGCAAAAATAAATTTAAGGTTGAAGTGATACTGGTAAATTACTGTACACACTAACTGAAACTGTTCTACTTGCTAGATTGTGACTGGGAGTCATGACTGTACAATCAGATTATGGGACCTGGCTGCAGGGAAATCAAAGGCAACCCTTACTAATCACAAGAAAAGTGTCAGGTCATTGGTGTTCCATCCAACACTGTAAGTGTATAGACAGATATGATTATGAGACTTTGTGGCAATACACAGCTTTAACACACATTGTTAGATCTAGTACAAAAGTGAAGAATTTTTTTTTATTGCTAGTGGGGTGGGACTAAGTCCCTTGTACTGCCGCCACTTCTGGCCTATTGTACCAGCCCCAGCACCAGATGATAGGTGAGGGTGATTGTGGAGCAATTGGTGGAATGAAGATTGGCAGGGGAAACCGAAGAACTCAGAGAAAACCTTCCCCAGCGCCACTTTGTCCACCACAAATCCCATTTGACCAGACCCGGGATCAAACCTGGGTTGCCGCAGTGGAAAGCCAGCGACTAACCACTTGAGCTATGGCTCGGCCCTAAAGTGAAGAATACTACCAGATGAATTTTGTCAGGGTGTGTCATACGTACAGGATGTCTAAACTAAGCATACACACGTATCCTAAAAAATTAAATCAGAATCTGACATAGGGGTCAGGAGTTCACAGATGCAACAGGCAAACATAGAGTGCCTGTACGTCAGGGTTTTACAGATCACAGGTGTGATGAACATTCTTTTCCTAACATCATCTTCATTTCATGAATTGATGGATGAAAAGTCTCCAATTTCTTCTTTCTCCACAATCTTTCGTTTTCAGTTTTTCGCCAGCTTGTTTCTCCCTTCTTCTTATCTTCCAGTATCTGGGCGAACCATTTCCTTTGGGGTTGTGCCATAGGTCTGTCTTCTTTAAATTTTAATTCTAATGCCCTTCTTAGTACCTATGTTACACCCATTCTTTTTAAAGAGCCAAACCATCGTCATCGTTTCCCTTTTCACTCTGTTAAATGTGAATCTGAACATCTTCTCTCAACAGTAGTTGTAGGTAATTACTCATGTGCATGTGTTCCTATCTGTGGGGTCTTCAAAGAGTGTCCATTTCATAGAAACAAACTAAAAATAAAACGATATTAACAAATTGTGCATGCATGAGTTTGTATAAAAAAATAAATATTTTAATTTCTTTCCTGGCTCATAGGTTTCAAAGGGTGTATTTAGATTTTCAGAAAATTTTTAAGGTATTTGGATACACATACTGTGTCTAGTTCATCTGTGCCCTCCACATGGAAAACTAAATGTAATTTATTACCATCTGAATTTTTATGTGAACCCACAGAAAATGTGAGGAGCCAGGATAGCATAGTCAGTATAGTGACTGGCTATGGGTTGACGTTCGAGTCCCAGTAGGGTCAAGAATTTTCTCGTCTCCATGTCATCCAAATTGGCTGTGGGGCTCACCCAGCCTCCTATTTAATGGGTAGTGGGGCCTCTTTCCCCGGGAGTAAAGCGGAAAGATGTGAAGCTGGCCACTCGCCTCCAGTTAATGCCGATGTCAAAAAATGTGGATCCACTCCCCCATACACCTTCATGGCATAGTGCTTAATTAATTAAGCACAGAGACACCTTTACCTTACCCACAGAAAATGTATTAAGCATAGTTTGTGGTGTCTGTATAGAAGTTCTCAATGCCTCCCTTATGGAAAAGTGGTTCATACATGATATAATGTATTACTGAATATTGTTTTTTTTTTTCAGGTACATGTTTGCTTCAGCTTCTCCTGACAATATCAAACAGTGGAAGTGCCCAGATGGGAAGTTCATCCAGAATTTGTCAGGTCATAATGCAATTATAAACTGTCTGGCTGTGAACCCTGAAGGTGTGTTGGTATCAGGAGCGGATAATGGCACGCTGCACTGCTGGGACTGGCGAACAGGATACAACTTTCAGCGGCTACAGGTATGGTGTATCTTCCTTCATAAAACTGAAAGTAAATTCAGTTTTTTACATAATCTAATTTTGTTTGGGTTTTTAAGGAGCCAGGATAGCTTAGTCAGTATAGTGATGGGCTACAAGCTCGATGGCTGAGGTTTGACTCCCAGCATGATAAGAGATTTTTCTCTACTCTACAGTGTTCACACCAGCTACGGGGTTCGCCCAGCCTATCTAATGGGTACTGGATGCTCTTTCCCCAGGGATAAAGCAGCCGGGGCATGAAGCTGACCACTGACCACAGTCTAGTGGTGAGGTCAAGAACGGTGAAGCTATATCTCCAATCCCCCATGTCTTCATGGCATAGTGCTTAATTAATTAAGCACAGGGATAACGTTGCAGTAATTTCAAATTCATAGGCGGGTTTGACAGTACTCTCCATCATGGTTATGGTACCAGTACTTACAACGGTATGATGAAAATGGATGATGTTAATATTTTGGCACTGTGTAATGGGTTTGCTGACTAGTTCCTCTTGTATGTAATAAATGGCAATGATATAAGAAATATATGGCCAGTGGGCACATGGAGCTTTAAGACAAAACTGATAAGCCCATGAAATAATTTTATAAATAAATCAGTAGAAACAGAAATTTATGAATATATTACACACATAATGACACCTATAAAGGTATGGATCAATGCTATAAATAACTACAGTTTGTACACAGTTAGATAAAAATATTAAATTCTATTTTAGGCTCCAGTTCAGCCTGGTTCCATGGACAGCGAGTCTGGTATTTTCTCCATGATATTTGACCAGAGTGGAAGCAGACTGATTACAACAGAAGCAGATAAAACAATAAAGATATACAAGGAAGATGACACAGCTGTAAGTATAAAAGTACAGATTAAAACAAAAGAATATGAAACTGAATGGGTCAAGACAAATTTGGTGAGTACTGTCTTCTGGGATGTGACACTGTGTACCAACATTTTGGAGGAACCAGTTATTTCCATCTTCAAGGCGGACAGTAATTACTGTGAGGACCTCAGAACTCATAAATTTTATGTTGACCCCAGAGACGTTTCAAATATTATGTACCTCCATAGATCAGTTATCGTGAAGAAGAGTACTGTGTTGTGTGAAGTTCTTCTCCTCTTGCCTCTCCTGCTGGCATTATTTATTTCTATTTATGTGGGTCAGAGGTTTAAAGGTAATCAGTTCTATCCCAATATCCTTCTTTCAAGGTTTAGTCCATATCTAGATGAAATTATTGGAGATCATCAGTGTGGGTTTTGACATAACAGATCAATTATTGATCAGATTTTTTGCATTCGTCAGATACTTAAGAAAAAATGGGAGTACAATGAGACAGTACAACAGCTATTCGTACATTTCAAAAAAGCCTATGATTCAGTTAGGAGGGAGGTATTTTACAATATTCTCATAGAGTTTGGGATTCCCATGAAACTAGTTAGGCTGATTAAAATGTGTTTAAATGAAATACAGTAGAACTCGGTTATAACGTCATCAAAGGGACCTAAAAATACTGTTGTTATAAACGAATGTCGTTGTAACCGAAATGGGCACTTCCACAGTAGCCTTATGTTAGTCACGTACAAATCTACCAAAAACCGAGTTAAAATGTTGCATTTTTTAGTGAAATACGTAGTTAAGTACAGACTAACGTAACATTAACATGGAATTTCCCAAATGTGTAATATCAAAGACATATTACAGCGCTTTTCACTGACAATACACACAATATTTCACGAATCACTTTAACTTTCTCTTCAATGCTTAAAACTTTCCTTTTCATTGCCATGTTTTCGCTACTGCACTTCTCTGGGTTTAGGCAGGAACACTATAGGGTAAGTAGACAATGTGAGGTCCTGTTAGACGAGATTCTAGGAAAGGAATGCAGTTAACAATCTGCCGCGTCCCCTTGCACTATTCACGCAGTCCCACCCCACACCCTTGTTTTCGTATAAAACCCACGCTCCTCTTGCAGCCCGCGGTCGTATTCTTCCAGGACAGTCATGTCAGCAAGTAGAGAAAGTGAGGGTGGGCAGACACATCGAACTTTCCCACGATATCAGAGAAATTCAGGAATGAAAATGACGTTACATACGAGGTTGATGCATTTGTCCATGTCGTACTAAGCAAGGTATAAAAACAGTTGCTTTATGAGGAATTAGTTCGTACCATTGAATATTTGAAGCAATAGACAAGGTGTCGCAGAAACCGATGTTGCTATAACCAAGTTTTACTGTATATAGTAAAGTCTGTATAGGTAAACATTTGTCTGATAATTTTCCTATCCCAAATGGTTTAAAACAAGGAGATGCTTTATCGCCAGTGTTTTTCAAATATGCTTTAGAATATGCCATTAGGAAGGTCCAGGAAAACCAGGTGGGAGTGAAATGTAATGGGACACATCAGCTGCTCATCTTTGCTGATGATGTGAATCTACTGGGTGATAATATAGATACCATAAAGAGAAACAGAAACTTTAACTGATGCTAGTAAGGAGATTAGTCTAGAAGTAAACACAGAGAAAACTAAGTTTATGTTGCTGACGTATCATGAGAAGGCAGGGCAAAATCATGACATACAGATAACTAACAGATGTTTAGACAATGTGGCACAGTTAAAATATTTGGAAACAACAGTAACAAATCAAAATTTTATTCAGGCAGAAATTAATGGATTGAATTTGGGAATGCTTGCTACCATTCAGTCTTCATGTCTACTGCCTAGAAACATAAAAATTAGAATATACAAAACTATAATTTTGCCTCTGATTCTGTATGGGTGTGAAACTTGGTCTCTGACATTAAAGGGGAGGAACACAGGCTGATGGTGTTTGAGAACAGAGTGTTGAGGAGAATATTTGGACTGAAGAGAGATGAAGTGACAGGAAGTTGGAGAAAACTACATAATGAAGAGGTTCATAACTTGTACTCTTCGCCAAGTATAATTAGAATGATCAAATCATGGAGGATGAGATGGGTTGGGCATGTACCATGAATGGGGTGAAGAGGAATGCATATAGGATATTAGTGAGAAAGCCAGAAGGAAAGAGACCGCTAAGAAGACCAAGATGTAGGTGGGTGGATAATATTAAAATGGATCTTAGAGAATGGGATGGGGTGGTATGGACTGGGTTGATCTGGCTCAGGATAGGGACTAGTGGAGGGCTCTTGTGAACATGGTAATGAAACTATGGGTTCCATAAAATGCTGGGAAGTTCTTGAATAGCTGCACAACTGGCAGCTTCTCAAGAAGGGCTCGGCTGCATGAAGTTAGTTAATCATTAAATTGTTTTCATTTCAGACGGAGGAGACACATCCAATTCACTGGCGGCCAGAGATTCTCAAGAGAAGGAAGTATTAAAGGACAAATTTGGACTACTAAATATGCTTCAAAGGTTTTTTGGAACTGTAAACATTTTATTAATAAATAATCCAAAATGTATACTATTTGCAAATTTATTAAAAAAAATAGCTGATAATTAAACCTAAACGTCAGACAAGCAATTAGGAAAGGAATGTACAAAAGATATAAACTTGTATCAAAACCAACCAACCAAACAAGTTTTCCAGCTGAACACAATGAACTGAAACAATCTTCAGTTTGCATCTCTCTTACTATGGCTTCAGATTTCATCATCAGTATCCAATGTTTCTTCAGGAAAATCACCAACCGTAACATGGATTGGCTTCACAAATCCACCATACTTTGGACTACATTCAAAGTACCTTTTTCCATCCACCCTGTGAGGGGAAAAATTAAATTATATAATCAGAAAGAGAACCCTTACTTAAAATGAACTCTGGTACTCAAAATAGATCTTGCTAAAATAGAGCTAATATCATGCAGATCTCCCATCCTCATCTACCAATTTGTCATTTTCCAAAATGCTTCCTCACCAAAGCTAAACCAAATGCATTCCCTGACTCCCTATCTGCGCTACATATCGATATTTCAACAGTCGCAGCTACCATGCCATGAAGGCATATGGGGAAGTGGATGTATAGATCCACATTTTCTTGACCTCGGCACTAGTTGGATGTGAGTGGGCAGGTTCACGCCCCAGCCACTTTACCCCTGGGGAAAGCCCCCACTACCCAGCTGAACCCCAGAACCAGTCTGGCTGACAAAGAGAGAAGAAAATCCTGCACCTACCAGGACTCAAATTCCAACCCCTTAGCCGTCCCAAACTACTGGGGGATATCTAATAGCTCATGGTTTGTGAGCTTCTGGATTGTGACACCAATGCTTTGGAGGAACATGCTGCCTCCATCTTCAGGGTTGAACAGAGTGTGGGGAGGATAGTCCAGTTATCCAGGTAGCTGCAAGAGGGTCACTCAGATCTGTGGGAGCAAGACAGTCCAAGCTTTTCTTGCAACTGTCTATATAACCTGAAGGTATGGTAACAACACTGACTTTGATTCTGAAGATTGACGCAGCAGTTTTGTCCAAACTGTTGAAATCCATGTATGATACCAAGTGGTGTCATAATGCAGAACACCACAATCTGAATACAGTCAACTCTCGATTAACCGGTTTGCGGCTTAACCGGGGCTACTGAGGCTTTTTTTAGGCTTATATGTTGTTTAATATTCATTCACTTTTGTTTCACGTGGTGAGTTGTAACACTATTTTTGCACTAGTGTGAACCGAGCTCTGCATTCTTTGGTCCCATTATGCTAACACAGTATTCTAGGGTAGGGGTGAAAGAATGCAAGTATTTGTGGAAAGTTTGAAGGACAGATACACCGCCCCAGTTGGTCTCTTTGTATCGATCTTCAAGTGCGTTAGCAAAATGTCAGGGGTAAAAGGAAGCGTGTTGTGTTAAGTATTCAACAGAAACTCGTGTGAGCTGGGCTTCGAAATGTTAAGCAGTGACAAAACCATAAATTCAGTGGGGGTGCAACCAGAAGAGCGGGAAGAAAGTGAGAATGAGGAAGAGGTGGACAGTGCTGCTAGTAAGAAAATATCACATGGTGCTGCTCTTAATCATTTGGAATCCTTACTAGACTATCTTGAGAGTGAAGAGAACAGTTTATTAAGTGACAAGCTAATATTACGTAGGCTTCGTACGGATATCCGTAAAAAGGAAAATGCCGCGAAAAAGCAAAAGACAATATTATTTTTTTTAAGTGTTAAATGTGAATATTCGTAAAAAGCGTTGGATGTTGTTGAACACTGTGATTGAAATAACTAATTCACACTTCAGTATAATGTAAAAAAAAAGTATTAAATAGGCCATAAGATGACATAAAAATGAGGATGAGTAAATTTAAATACAGGTAGGCCTGTATTATGAAAGTACAGTATTACAGTACTACTTTTAATAACATTTGTCTTAACCGGGTTTTTGATTAATCGTGATTTCCATGCCCACCATTATCCCGGATAATCGAGAGTTGGCTGTACTTACAATGTGTACTTACGTGCCATCATTTTTCCCCAGAGGTTCATCATATTTGATACCAGTCCACAAACCCTGTTGGAAATGAACTTTACCTGCAAGAAATTCCAACAGATCAAGTTTCAGAAACTGATTTAATACCCAGAAGGCATATACCAGGAAAGTTCAGCAGTATGCAGTTGCTTTTATGTGCTTTACCTATGAACATGACAGTAGCTCTTCTGACTGGCTGACCTGGTACTCTCACTTCACAGCGTTCACCCACTTTAATAGCCTTTGCAGCTATTTCATTAGCGTCCTCTTCTTTTCTCTTTTTCTCTTCTCTCTGCTTCATTTCTTCAGGACTGTATTTGCCTAATTTGTTACGTTCAAGAAATGACTTCACTGTACCTATAAAAGCAAAGTGATGAAATCAGGTTCATGATGTGTATTTGTACCAACAGTCTTACAGTGCACACAATTTCACTTTTCTCCTCACTACATGTTTTGGCACTAATGTGCTATCTTCAGGTCTGGTTTTATTTACGTCAAACCATTGCACTGTATGCCATCATGTCTCCTTTATAAAATGATTAAAATGTATATATGTCATGATAATAAAGTTTATATATTAAAACTTTTCTTCAAGATTTATCATCTATATGTCACACTTAAAATTCACGAGTTATGTCGATCCTCTCCTATGGGAGTACTCTCCCTATATTCTTGTATATATTTTGTGCTGTGTTGTGTCCTTCCCTTGTGACTGCGTGCATTGTACTGCTGGATATGTGTGTGTGTGTTGTCTCCATATTGATGGAATCAATATGGATGAAATCAGGGTCATGTTTTGGAGAGTTCTGTCTTCTGGGATATAACACCATATAGTCTGGTGAGAGTCAACTGATGTTTCAGAGGAACACAGCCTCCATCTTCAGGGTCAAACAATAAACTCAGCAAAGAATGGCTGCCTCCTTCATGCCATTTTTTTATATAACATCCATAACTGTTACACAGGCACAACTGGGCATGTCAGTTGAAATCAGCCAAACACTACACGTCAACAATTTTTTGACGAAGGCGATGTATATGAGTGGCCCAACTAAAGTTTTCTGTACTATTAAACACCTAAAATTTTAAATTTGATGAATAAGTTATTTCTTTGTTATTTAAATACAGAATGGGTCTATGAATGAAATTAGATCCTCTTCCCTGATATAGTATTGCTTTGGTCTTTTCCATATTTATTATAAGATTATTTGTCAAGAACCAATTTTCTAGTTGTTTCAAAACTTTTGCAATTTTTAAAGATATGAGATCTTTCTTGATGAGTAATATATTTGTGTCATCTGCGAATAACACCACCTTAGCATCTTGAACAGCTTAGGGCATATCATTTATAAACGACAAGAACAGAAGGAGTCCCAAAACAGAACCCTGTGGTACACCACGTTTTATTTCTTTAAATGCTGAAGTATATGTCTTTATATTTGAGATACTTTTGTCTAACTGTTGCATTTCCACAAAATGAGTTCTACCAGTAAGATATGAACTCATTCATGAGTTTCTTGCTTGCCTTACTCTTCTAACCCTGAAGATGGAAGCGACGTTCCTCAGAAAATATAAACTGACCTTCAACAGACTAGACAGTGTTATATCCCACAAGACAGAACACTTCATAGTCACTGCTGTGAGAACATCAAATCGAATAGTTTTTTAATTGATGATTCTAAACTGACAGTATATCTATTAAAAAGGGGTGTCTCATTCTGGATGAACAAAAAAATATGTTAAAATAAGAACAAAAAAAAGTGTTAAAATAATCTCATGAGTCTATAAATATCAGAATTTATAACACACAAAATAATATTAAACTATTTACCTGGTCGTTTTGAATATTCTTCTAATGACAATTCAAACTTTTCTACTTTTGAAAGATCTTCAAATTCTTTTCTCTGTAAAAATGCATCCACTACCTGAAATTTAAAGAAAACTATTGAGAAAAGCTATAATTATATCATGTACTAGCTTCTCAGATAGAAGCTGGGATATTCAGTTGCTACAGCTTTGGGCTACTGGCTGGATGGCTAGGGTTTGATTCCCAGAAGGGGAAAGAGATTTTTCTCTTCTCCACAGCATCCAATCCAGCTCTGGGGTCCACACATCCTCCTATTGAATCGGTATTGGGGTTTCAAAGCAGTCTGGGCATGAAACTGACCACTCATCTCCACATCCAGTGTCAAGGTCAAGAATGGTTGAGCTATTACCACCACTTCCCCATATATCTTCATTGAGTGGTGTTTAATTAAATAAACAAAGGGAAAGCTTTATGTTTACCTTCATTTTCAACATGGTACTAATGAATGTCAATGTATTAAAGCACGTTAAAATGCCATATTATCTTCTCGGGTGTGACGCCATGTAGCACAGAGGTTAACTGATATACTGCCTCCATGTTCATGGTCAAAAAGTGAGCAGGCTGATCAATATGTCCCTCCAAAACAGTTGAACTACCAGACTACACGATGCCACGTCTAAGAAGATAATACTCTTCACAGTAACTGCCCTGAGTACCTGAGATCTCATCTGTGTCCATAAAGTGTATCCTCAGAATTCAACATAGATTTATTCATAAACAACATTGGTAAAGATTGAGAACAGGGTGCTGCTTCACACCACATTGCATGATGCATGTCTTAAAATAGTAATGGATCATTAAAAAACACTAACCTACATTAACACTACACTTATACTTCTTTTACAGACATATATTGTATAAATGAATAAGGCATCAATAGCCATAACATATTTCAAATTTTAACCATAGCAACCCTGATTCATTCATATTCATTTGGTAGAATTCAACAAAGTATATTTAGGATACTGTCTTCTGGGATGTGACACCGTGTAACCTGGTTACACCACATTACCAAGATTTCAAAGGAACCTCCTGCCTTCATTTTCGGGGTACACTGAACAATGGTAACAATATTTTGGAGGAACCTGCTGCCTCCATCATCAAGCATACTGAATGTGGAAGCAGCTGATACCTCTGAAATATCAGAAACTTTCAATCAGACTAAATGATGACACATGTCAGAAGAGACTATCTTCTTATTCACTACCACAAGAATTTAAAATCTCGCAAAGTATATTTAGAGATCACCCAATTCTTTAAGGGGATTTAATGCCAGTGTTCAGTATAGCATGTTAGTGAAATATTCATTGGACAACTTAAAGCCATAACATCTTACGTGTAAATCTAAGCACTTACATGAAGACGCATTTTACCATCATTCGTTACGTAATAGCCAAGTAAAGCTTCATCATTATCACACGTCCCAATAAATTCATCATCTTTCGTGTATAGTTCAATCTTCATCGTTGATGCACTTCCACCAGTAATCAGTTCCAATTTCCCCTGCAAATATACGTAAGTTTATTTACATGGTTTCAATGATAACATCATCTAGTCTAGTTATACACATGATACTTTACAAAATATTTACAACATGCATAAATGTCAAAAATAAGACCGGGGAAGAAACAAGTAAGACATAACCTTCAAACAGGCAACTGTAATATCTGTCGGAAAACGTCTTTCAACACACGCATCTTTCTGGCCTGACTTCGTTATAGTAAAATTTACATAATCTCGGAAAAAATCTGCCATACTTTCTCCAATACTACAGTCACAAACACAAAATATCTGCCTTCTAAATTAAAGGTTTTATTTTACTTCTCTTCCACCTCGCGAACCTCACTACCACAAGTGACCATAAGCAAATGACGAAAAGACGGAAAAGACCGTAACAGAAGCCTATCTCAACGGATTGCAATCCTGTTGCCTGGCAATGTAACCGCGTGACGCAACAATGCATTACTCTCCCGCCTATTCTTTTCGTTCAGCATATTTGTCGTATAATGGTTGCAGACACTGCTGAAAGCTCAGTCGGTATAAAGGTTAACTACTATCCTTACTTCGCTTTCTACGGATCTATTGTACTAGCCCGTAATAGCCCATGCGTACAACTCCCCATGAATCCCGAGTTCACGAAACAGCAATGAATAAATTTACCACTTTGATCTCACGTACTATTGAGGCTGTTGAGGTTCTTACTCCATTTTCTGTCAGTAGTTTAACTAATATCACTTCATTCATATCAATCAGGAAAAAGTTTCTTGGCACTGGATGTGGAATATGAATATTTCATTTTACATGATCCAGGACATGAAAAAAGAACCCATCTTATAGATGGGGTCTGATAAAATGATATCGAAACGTGTCTATGATGAACCCTTCACGATCAGATTTCCTGATAGAAGTGAATGGAAAGAGGGGTTTGAACCCAATAGAAAGGGGGGGGGCTAATATCGTATACAGATGGTTCCAAGGCAAATAAAAGCACTGGATCTGGGGTGTATTGTGATGGAACTGGGCGGAAACGTAGTTTCGGCCTTTGTCAGTACACAACAGTATTCCAGGCAGAGGTGTATGCCATTAAGGCATGCACAGTTGAGAATTTAGATAGGGACTATAAACATAGGAACATCTATATTTTATCAGATAGTCAACCTGCAATTAAAGCATTTGGTACACATCAAATCACTTCAGAATTGGTCTGAGACTGCCACCAGTCCCTCATACAACTGGCCAGACATAACATAGCTCAGCTGATATGGGTGCCAAGTCATGAGGGTATTGCTGGGAATGAAATGGCAGATCACCTGGCAAGAACAGGATCTGAACATCAGTTCATGGGATCTGACTCAGCTTGCGGCATCTCAATTGCAGTTGCCAAGAAACCGATCACGGACTGGACAGATAGAAATCACAAAAAACAATGGGAATCCACAATTGGACTCAAACAGGCAAAGGGATTTATATTAGGACCCTCTGCCAGAAGAGTGAAGGATCTGTTGAAATTAAACAGAGATCAATTAACATGGGTGGTAGGATTGCTTACTGGACACTGCCACTTAAAAGGACACCTTTTCAAACTGGGATTGACAGACGACCCAACCACATCAGTATGCAGACAAGAACAGCTCATGAAGATTGAAAGGTTACACCTGTTCTTCAGAATTTCTGAAACCATTCAAATTTATTTAATTTCCAATATGTTTTTTTTATTTATGAACATTGTTATTTTCGGAATTTTCGAAAATGTTCAGATTTCATAAATTTCTACAATATGGAATTTGACAATTTTTTCAATCATACCGGATTAGGCTATGTATTGTTAAGATATGTTCTGTTAAATTTAGATTGTTCAGTTGCTTGCATCACAGACCTCTGAAAATAAACTTTGCATTCAAGCAGAGTAAGCTCTAAGTATTACGTACAACATACAGGGATAATAGAAATATTACACCTGTTTTGCAGGTGATTCAAGTCCAGCTGGTCACATAGAAATCAGAATTTTTAATCAGCTTCTTATGGGAATGACTGCCTTCTTCCATTACTGTTGCTGTAATCCTTTCTGATTTGCAACTGCTTTATAATATATATATAGCATCCATGACGTGTGTATAACTTGTGATATTCACACAGTCTTACAGCCATATACAATCTAGGATAACTTTCCTGGAAAATAAACAAACAGGTTGTATTGTAATAGTACATTGAGTTATGTTTTAGAATTTATTTCATCAAATTCAGAAGCATTTAATTTATGCATTATATATGTCTGACACTCAAACTTCCAGCAGATAATGTCTCATATATGCATGTACAATTGCAGATTAATTCCGTAAAATATCAAGAGACTGGGGCTTTAGAAGGATTGTCTCTATATTCTAAGATTCTGAACCACGGTTACAAAATTCTTATATGTATAAATATAATTACAGCATAATTTATCAGACTTCCTTACCCCATCTTCACTAAAACAATCAAGTGATAACAAACAATGAATAAACTAATGTATTCTTATACTTCATACATACATACAACATAACATTTATGCATTATATCACTAAATGTTTGGGATGAGATACCTCCTTCACACATATTAAAGCAATATATGTTTGGTTTAAAAACAACTGACAAAATTTCTCTCAAAGTGACAGTGAGAGGAATTAATAAAGTTGTTGCTTTGTATGCTCAAGCTACAATGACACCCCTCTGAAACCAATGCAGCTAATCATCCTTCACCAAAGTGACATCATGCCACAGTTCTCTTTCAGCACATAACCCTATTCGGATGCTCAAATCACCTTCACGCTTACTCATACTGCAGTTTTATGGATTATTACACCATGTAGTGTGGTAAAATCACCATGCATATTGATCAAGAAATGAAGGTAACCCGAAACACCATAATATGAGTCCTCACAGCAGAAAAAAATCTCAAATCTCATTCATTCTTACTAATTACTAGCCATTACAATTTTCACTGCCTTTATAAGCAGTTACAGCATTAATCTATGTCTATGACAGCACCCCAAGATTGTCACTACTGTACTTTTTTATAATAGATAGCACACTAGCAAATCCAATGAACCCATCAACAGGGACTGGAACAGAGCAGGGCAACAATTCTCCACTAAAAAATTACAACTGAATAGTGGTTATGTAATAAGTATATGCACGTATTCCTTTACAAAAAAGTTAGACTAACTCAAATGGCAAACCTACTGTGTTGGTTGAATGAGTCACTGACCTGATGACTCCTAAAACAATGGCATGTCATATGGTGGACATACAAAGCAAATACCTTCACACACTCAAGCAAACAAGACAGAGGTTCATTCACCATTTAAATTCATTAGGCATGTTTATTCTTACATCTTGATATCTTAAGAATCAGCATATGATATATACACAAACATCTGCGAAATACAAACACATAACAATATGAGATCAGTGACATGTGAACTTCAAACATTATACACATAAATTCACCCATATTTGTGCTGTGAATGGGATCTATATAGTACCATAATCAGTACTGAGACCGTAGAAAGTTTAAGAAGTTTGTGATGAAGAAGGTGACACTTAAGTTTTGTCGTAGCACATTCCAAGTGTAAGCCTGAAACCATCCAGCGGCTATTTAAGCACTTCAGTCTGTATGTAATGTTTTGACAATAAGCATAATAATAATATTCATTCAAATTCCATTATGCCTTGAACAAGGCCCAAGGGTGTTATGCTTCTTTGTGAGAACTTTGATGGATTGATACGATGCTTAGAGCTGGTATGGGACCTTCAAAACTGCTGTTAACGAGTCATAATCAGAAAATAAAAATAAGATTCTTATGATCTTTGAGATGTGACACCTTATAGCCTGGTAAATAGGTGCTAACGTTTTGGAGGACCCTACCTATCAAACAACATGGCATCATATTCCATGAGATCATAATCTTAATACCAAGAACCTTGAGAATCTTAAATCTTATTTAAGATCTGTAGTTCAGAAAGATTTATTTAGAACCTTTAACCCACAGGTTATGACATAATGTCTTGATTTGTGTAATTCCACTTTCATCAGCTGCACAGGTAAAATTTTCTGATCATCTTTCATGGCTATTTTGAGCACTGCGATGATCCTAATTTGAGATGTGTCAAGAAGTTTGAAATCAATATTTAAGTATTTTCTGTTATTCTCAAATTAATTTTGTTAAGCGTTCTGTATCCTTCCATTCCACGAATGTATTCAACACTGGACTTCAAGAATGACAGTAAATATAGGAGCAATTAAAAGATGTTCAGTTGGAAAAGTCCATATCATCCTAATAATTAACATACTATGTTAGAGCCTTTTGAGAAACATTTTGTGGATAACATTTTTGCATATTATGCATTTTAAAATGTATAGAATTATGAAGCAATCGTATTGTAATCTAGTTATTACAAAGTACTTATTTTAACAGCCGCGCCATTGCTCAAGTGGCTAGTCGCTGGCTTCACACCATGGTGGCCCGGGTTCGATCCCGGGTCTGGTCACGTGGGATTTGTGGTGGACAAAGTGGCGCTGGGGCAGGTTTCTTCCGAGTACTTCGGTTTTCCCTGCCAATCTTCATTCCACCAGTTGCTTCACAATCACCCTCACATATCATCTGGGGCTGGTACAATAGGCCAGAAGTGGCCGAAGTACAAGGAACTTAGTCCCACCCCACTAGCAATAAAAAAATAAAGTACATATTTTACAGTGTTCAGCCCAGGGTCTTCTGTGTGAAAATGGTAAAAACTGCCTGTGTTTTGCAGGAAATTGCTGCACTCTTCTTCAGAGTCGACATGCTTGACAGGTAGTAAATTACTGGCCTTCTCAACTCAGAGCCTTACCTCTCTTTACCTTCCAGTTAGCCCTCCTCTGTTACAAAGTTGCAATGCTTCTGGACCTGTGTCCAACTGTCATGGAGCATCTTACACTCAGAAGATTCTGGGCACAGCATTATAATCAAAATAACTACCAAGGTTTGGAAAACTGACTTGGTACTCACACTTCAGTAAGATAGAACTGAAACTATTTCTGCCTTACCTTGATATTTCTTTTTAATATAATATGTTATGGTAAGTCTACAGTACAACAGCTGAAGAAACTGAAGATGCATCTGATTCTCTCCTCGAGAGGGTTGTCCTGCGCAGTCCACGATGACTTGGGTGTAGGTTGAGGGGAGGCAGGTTGGGGTGCTCTATACGGGTTGGAGAAGAGACTCTAGGTCGAGGTGAGGCATGAGGGCTACTGGATGGAGTCCTTCTCGTGCTGCAAGTGCTGCCTGTTTCAACTAATTCACTCAGCTGGTAGCTCTCTACAACTGGCGTTGGATCATCTGAATCAATGAAGCCAGAGTTGTCAAAGCTTACGGGGAGAGTATCTGGCAACTGTTGTGTGATATGTGTGATCTGGTATGGTGATATTTGTGATGGAGGGTGTTGAGGAGATGTGGGGATGGGGGGCAAGCTGCGGGCTTGGTGCTGCAAAGTGGAACCATACTGGGGGACACTATGTTGGTGCTGGTATGGTTGGTGATATATTGGTGGCTCTGCTGTGAAGTGATGGGTGGTCCCACGAGGTGTGAGTGCTGCCCACAACACACGGCTGTCTGGGGTGACAGCTCCACCAGATGATGGGCATGGATACAGTACTGCCTCACATCCCTTAACGCCTTTAGCCTTGCTCAGAGTCGAACCATCCAGCTGCAGAGAGCCTTTTCCACTGCGCTCACTTTAATACAACAAATGCACAGTTGACATTATGTTTAGTGAACCCAGTAAGAATATCAGATGAATGAGTAACAAGAATGCATAGACTGAATAGGATACATACACTCTGCACTTAAGCAGGAAGAGTGCAAGAAGGGCTCCCAGAAGCAACACTCCAACAGAGGAAGCAATCAACACCAGCAACCAGGTGTCATCCATTGCTGGTCCTGAATGAAACCCATTAATATGTGTCAGCATGAAAGAAAAGTGACTGTTGCTAGAGGCCACAAAATATGCCCGCCAGGTACCAAAGAGTTTTAAAGATATCAGGCCAATATTATAACATATGTTGGAGTTTCCCAACTAAAGGGATGATAACAGATCTGTTATCCATAACAGAATCATAAAATGGTAACACAGTTTTGACTAGTTTGATTTGTTTCATTCTGGTCCGTCACAATATAAATCACTCCGTCCAATGTGACCTGTAAGTTTTTTACTACATGAAAACTTAACACCCTTCCATGTTTCGGTCTCTGTGGACCATCTTCAGAGGGCAAACATCACTACAAATAGGAAACCACCATCACATAAGTTGTTTAGACGTAAAGTACGTACACTTATATGCTAAAATACATAGTACACAAAATATACATTTCACATTTCACAAACACAGCAGTTTCCTGGGAGTGTACAGTTTTTTATAAAATTGTATAAAATTTCTTGATGCTAATTAAAAAAATTTTTTGTGGGNAAATTTTTTGGATTGTCAATAATTAAAATTCGTAAACCATGCAGGCTCGTGTTCGTCCTCCCATCGTCCCTCTTATATGGGGCAGATAATGTGCCACCTGGCTATCTTGATGTGGAGGTTCTTTATATCGTCCAGGCTTTGCTCGTGGCTGCTGTGTTCTTTACACTGTTTCACTGTAAGGGTGTTAAGTTTTCATGTAGTAAATAACTTACAGGTCACATTGGACGGAGTGATTTATATTTGCAGTTTTGACTATTTGTTTACATAAGGGCATTAATTTTTTTTCCAATTTAATAATTAGTGGTGACTGAGCTAAATTATAAATATAATGTTATGGCTGTTTATTTTTACAGGCATTTAACAACTCTTTATCAAATAATAAAAAGTAAGAAGATAATGAGAGGTGACCAAAATATTTCTTTGGCAGTCAGATTTTTTAAATTTTATTGAACCCTAAAGTTTACATGATCCTTCTTCCTTTACCAGCATATGAATACACATTCATTCAAGAGGGGTGCATGCAGGAACACACACACAGATATACATAGGTATATATTACAAAGGCCCTGCAATCGTGCAATAGCTCAAGCGGTAAGTTGCCGGCTTCCCACCACAGCAGCCCAGGTTCGATCCCGGGTCTGGTCAAGTGGAATTTGTGGTGGACAAAGTAGCACTGGTGCAGGTTTTCTCCGAGTACTTCGGTTTCCCCTGTCAATCTTCATTCCACCAATTGCTCCACAGTCACCCTCGCCTATCATCCAGGGCTGGTACAATAGGCCAGAAGTGGCCGCAGTACAAGGGACTTAGTCCCATCTCATTAGCAATAAAAAAAGCCTTGCAGTGACCCAGGCAGATAGGTTCTGGCTTCTGATCATAGAGGCCTGGGTTTAATCCTGTGTAATATCACGTGAGATCCATGGGGAAGAAAGTGTCATTGGAGAAAGTTTCCACCCACATTAATTTGGTTTTCTCCTGATAATAATCATTCTATTATTGCTCCATACTCAATTATGACTACCTCATGAGATATGCAATAGCTCAGAACACGTGGCTCATTATCACATTCTTGGTGTTTAAGTTAGGGGCTTCATCTCTATCAGGGCTCTTGCTGGTTACAGAGTAAGAAAGTTGGTTATGAAATCCTTGAGCAAGAAGCAGGTGATACTGTAAGCTTCCAAGGACTATGTGTCTGCCCTTCAGAGAACTTACAGGCAAACCAATGACTGTAAGGGATTTCAAAATCCTAGCATGCTTTATACTGCACTAATCTCTTCATATGCAGTCATGTTATTGTTAGAGGAAGTGAAGCTGCCTTGTTGTACCTTGTCTTGGCAGCTCAACATACTCCACACCAGGGCCTGCTGTCCAGTCACAGAGAACACTGCAAGTTGCTGTGTCATTGAAGGCAGGGGCTCGTTGCAGAAAGGTTGGCAGTGGAGGTGGTGGGATGCCGAGGATTGTATCTGGAGGTGGCCCCATGTCTGAGCACTCCACGCATGATGTGTTAAAATACATCAGAAGGTCCACTCCACTTGCCATGTTGATTGCCTGCAGACAAATCAAGCAAGTTAATAATGAAGCGGTCTTACACATAGCAACAATATCCATCTTGGATTTACTGTAACAGTTTCATTCCTGGTGTTCCAAAGAAGCTTTTCATAATAACTAATTGTCTGATTTACTTTTCATCAATGATGCAATTGCATGTGTAAAGAAATTAAAGAGCAGATTCAATTCTTGGAATGCTTTCCACCATTTTGTTTAGAATCTTTTGTTTTCCTGTCTGCTGTTTAAAAATATTAAAGATTAAAAGATATAGATCTCTAATTTTGCTTTTGTTGTGTGTGGGTATGGAAGTTGATCTCTCTCAAAGTAAGGGACAAATGGAGACTGAGGCTGTCTGAGAAGACTACTTGTCTCTAAGAGGGAAGAAGTAACAGGAAACTGTGAGGAGTGTCATAATTTGTACTCCTCACCAAATATGATTAAAATGAGTAAATGATGGAGAATGAGATGGGTGGTGCATGCAGCATGCATGTGAAGGAAGCAAAATGCATTCAGTATAGGTGGATTTTTGTCACAGAGCAGTCCATGTGGGACTTAAGATAGACAAAGTGGTGATGGGGCAGGTGTTTCTCCGAGTGCCTGCGCCAGTTACATTGGAAGGACTTTAAACCGACAACCTGGACGAATTGATTCATAAGAAAGTAAGTAAAAAGTAAAAGCATCCCTGTAACAGGCAGTGGAGGCCCATAGGGTTGTGAGATGCTGAGGTTCCCACATTTTCTAGACAATCGGCTCACAGATGGTGGTGAGGTTGTCAGCCCCACGCGCCAACTGCCCTTTACCCCCAAGAATGTTCCAAGAATATTCCTGGTATTCATTTCTGTTAGAGGTTGAGTCGATCCCAGGGCCATAGTGCGGCTGGAAGGATTAGGTAAATTGAAAAAAATCCAATGACCTCCTCAGGATTCCACCCCGTGACCTTCCGGCTTGTAGCATAGTGCCTCAACCAAATACGCTACCACATGCCCTGGACTAATTGATTCATAGAGTATTTTATGATGCTGTATCAACTGCAGAGGTTACATGACCTCAAACAAGATATCAACAACATGAGTGCTGAGCCAAAAGGAAAACAATTGTGAACTATTTTACTTCAATATTTTCTGTCTCATAAATACTTGATCAGAATGCTCAAATGGTATTCATGTGGTCATATGAATTGCCAGTTCTTATTGTCCACTAAGGACCAAATCTGAACTTGGACAGCAAATTTCATCAAAAATCCTGAATAACAAATTTCATTAACCTGAATTAAGACTGGACATCTTTAATTCACACCTACAGAAGGGCCGAACCCGAACGTTATTTAATTTGGTCACTGTTTAACAACGTTTTCAGTATCTCATCGGCCTATGATGCGTAAATGGAAGGATGGTTTAACCCTTTAAAGACCGAATTTCTTCCAAACTAAATATATAAATGCAGTTCGTACCTCACAGGAAACACATTGTGTCTCCGCCACAAAGCCCAACCGGTTAATGCTGTTTAGGGAAACATCGGATGCTTATTGTGAAAACCATATGAAACACACAAACACACTGTGTGGGCAGAATGCAGAATTCTAGTATGTTAAACCAGGTGGTGCATATAGTAACCATTAGGCGTTAAAAGGTTAATGAATAATGTGGGAAAAGGCAGCCGCAGTATAAAATGGGGCAGTACTGTGGTATTGGCCTGGAGGGACTGCAGACAACAACAACAACAACAACAAGATATCGGGATAGCCGGTGTCCTGACCGAGATTTGAACCGGTCATCATCTGAGCCAATTTGCTTGGCAGGAATCAGATGTAGGTGGGACGATAATATTAAAATTAATATTAGATTAACTGGTTGTGAGAGCGTGGACTGGATTGGACTGGTGAAGGCTAACACATACAGATATCTTCTGCGAAACTGGTAATGTATTTCGGGTTGCATAAAGGGTGGGGTTTATGGGCAGCTGAATAACTACAAACTGTTCTAGGAAGGCCCTAAAACGTAGAGAGAGTACGTACACTTATAAATATACACACAGACCCAGAGAGACGGGAGATGCTTTATATTATTTGCGAAGGCATCCAACAGTACTTAGCTATCACATCCCTCTGCATCCAGTTGGCAACAATGTTCCGACAGCTGAAGCATCTGTTGCGTGACTGTCATACTCGCGTGTTACAGTAACTCGAACGAAGAAGACGCCGCAAAGGAGACGTCAACAAAACACCCTATCTGGTCACTGTGTTCTTCGTTACTCTAGGCCCTCCTGTTGCACTATACCACTCTTTCTAGCCCACTCATTTATATTCGCAGACGACAGGTCTGATGATCATACAGACAGCGCCCCGTTCCTAAGAAAAATTGCGTTCCTGCAGAGAGTTCGTAAAGCGAGTCGCTGTTTCACATAGGCGCAATTTTAGAGAGAAAAATATTAATATCCTGGGATGTGACGCCGTGTAGGTAATTAAGAGTTCAGCTTGTTGCTTTCTTCTTCCTCGCTGCTAGCGTGCTATATCTCCGACCTTGATGATAGAGGCAACTGAGTTTTTCCGAAATGTCGGTGAACTTCTATCGGAGTACACGCGCGTAACAAGTTAGACGATAATACTTTTCGCAATCAGCTCAGTCGGTACAGCGAATGGCTACAGGCTGGACGACCGAGGGGTCGGTGTTCGAGACCATGTAGCGTCAAGAATTTTCTCTCTTGCACCGTCCAGACCGACTCTGGGGCCCACCCAGCTTCCTAGCCAATGAGTACCGGTGGCTCCTTCCCCGGGGGTAAAGCGGCCGGGGTGTGAAGCTGGTCCCTCACCTCCTACTAGTGCCGAGGTCAAGAAAATGTGGATTTATACTGCTCTCCTATACGCCTTCATTAATTAAGCACAGTGGCAAGTTTACTTCTTTTACTTCTACTTACTCTTCACAGTGACCTTCCGGCTTGTAGCATAAGGCCTCAAACAACTACGCCACTGCGTATCCCTAAATAGAGCCTAGTAAGATTGTAATAGGCCGCGCCATAGCTCAAGTGGTTAGTCGCTGGCTTCCCACCGCGGCGGCCGGGCTTCGATCCCGAGGTCTGGTCAAGTGGGATTTGTGGTGGACAAAGTGGCGCTGGGGCAAGTTTTCTCCGAGTATTTCGGTTTCCCCTGCCAATCTTCATTTCACCAATTGCTCCACAATCACCCTCACCTGTCATCTGGGGCTGGTACAATAGGCCAGAAGTGGCCACAGTACAAGGGACTTAGTCCCACCCCACTAGCAATAAAAAAGTTTGTAATAGCCGGTCATGGTAGCTGAGCAGTCTAAGGTATGTTGTATTTTCTCTCGCTCGGAAGCCGCAATCGTGGGTTCGAATCGCACACAGGCATGGATGTTTAGTAATGTGTGTTTATTCTGTGTTTGTGTTGTCCTGTGATTAGGTAGAGGTGTTGCGACGAGCTGATTACTCGTCCTACCGTCTGTAAAATGATCATGAAACTGAAAATCAGAAGCCAGGGATCAAGGGGGCTGTAGAGAGAGAGAAAAAAACTTTCTATAACAATTACGTAATAATCTACAACACTGTCCGATAATGACGAAATTTAAAAGACGTTTTAGACATGATATCTGCAGTGTCCTTCAGGGCTGGAGGCAGCAGGCTACTCCGAAATATCACTCAGTGACCATCGAGCTAAGGACCGAATGTGCATGAGCAGGCAGTTCGTGGTGATCACTAGGTGGCACCGCAGCAATGGGGATGACAGGGGCCACTTTCTACTTCCAGAAACGTCTGATGTAAATCTGTCACGAGGCAGTGAAAAGGTCCAACATAGAGGGGACAGCATGGGAGATCATCAAGATAAGAGTTAACGGTTCATTAATAGTCTAAGTGCAGCCTGGACTGGTAGATTGTAAACGAGATTTGCGAAGTCAATGAACCGTACCATATTAATGTTAGTAACATCCGAATGAAATGGGGACGCTAAGTATTAAATTTTAATATAAAGCAGAGGAATGTGACCAATCGCAGATTAGCTTCGTCGCTGGCTGCTAGAGGCCGCCCTGACATGCTCGTTGAAGACATAACCTGAACAGAAAGGTATATAACAAGAATAGCTTCAAGGCTTATTGAAGATTAATGGTTCCTTGTGTGTGACATCAGGGAGTGTGTTAGATATTTACAGACGTTTCGAAGGAAGCTTCTGCCACCATATTCAGAGTATAAAATTAAGCCATGTTAGGAACACCGTGTAGATTTGGAGGTGGATTCTAAAGTTTCGTAGGAACATGCGGCTTCGGCCTTGACTTCAACTCAAAACAAGTAAAGGTAAAGTTGTCCCTGTGCTTAACTGATTAAGCACTACGCCACGAAGGCGTATGGGGCAGTTGATGTATAGATCCACGTTTTTGTGATCTCGGCACTTGTTGGAAGTGAGTGGTTAGCTTCACGCTCCGGCAGCTTTACTCCCTGGGGAAACCCCCGTTGCATATAGCATAAGAGGCTGGATTGGCCCCAGAGCTGGTCTGGACGACATGCAGAAAAGAAAAATTTTGCCCCGATTGCGACTCGAACTCCATCTCCTCGATCGTCCAGTCCGGAGCCAGTCGCTGTACGAACTGCGCTATCCAGGCTCCCCATTCAAAATGAGTAAATTAATTAATTGAAAGTAAACGAAATAACTAAACAGACATTAAAAACTATTGCTATTAACACGCAAATATTTGTACTGATTTAGGCTGGGGCCACACGAGAGCACGAAGTGCGTCCGTTGCAACGAACGTACTTTATGACGGACGTTGCTGAGGACACCACACAGTTGCAGAATGCGGTGCGTAGTTTTTGTCTACAATGGAGCCACAAGAAAGCGTAGCATTCGCCTCTCTTCTTTATTTCTATAACGGACGTCACGACGTGCGTTAGCATTTTGTGCGCTCGTGTTGCCCCAGCCTTTTAGTCTGTTCTTGGTTAAGGAAAACGGTGAAAAGGCTGCAACTTACAGAGGACGTGAAATGAGGATAAGTGGGATAAATTAATGTAATGCCAGAAGGGCGAGAACTGAGAAACCTTGTAATTAGTTAAGGTAAGAATTATACTTGACTTCTACGTGCACAGTCTGGAAAGACCTGCTTAGGGCGAACAAATTACCTTGCTGATAACAGAGGCAGGTGAATCTCCCTCAGAGCTCCAAGATGTCGGTTGGGCGTTCATGCACTAGGGCCAGGCAGGGCATCTGATGGGGTGGGGTACGTCATGGCGCCATCAGGAGAAGTGAAGAGGCGCGACGCAAGCGTCGGTATATTGATCTACCGCTACGCTAGGCTATTGATTTCAAGTACACGCAGATATGAAAGTATTTCACCCCTCGGTCACAATCCGGAGTTCAAATCGTGGAACACGGACGCCGTCTCATGCAATTCTCATTAGGGCTGGTCACTTCTGAGCAATTTTAGCGATGGCTTATTAATCGTTTTATTAACCTTAGAAACACAGCGGTAACTACATGACCCAAAGAACATATATGAATTTGTATTACTGTTGCGCTCGTTAAAGATCTAGATATGACGACTGATAGTTTGCCGACGTTTCGGAGGAATGTACTCCCTCCATATTCAGAATCGAAGATTATGCCAAGTAAGCAATCTCTGGTTGATGTTTGCTTGGCTTGTTCTTTGACCATGAAGACGAAGACAGTACGTTACTTCGAAACGCCGATAAACTTCTACCACACTATATGGAGTCAAATCCCATAAGATAACAGCATTCGAATAGACCGACATTCAATAATTTCGTCCTCAAATTACACATTTATTCAATGCCTCGTGATTCAGTTACGCCTGTCTCTCTCGATCATGCTTTGGGTTCTATTATTGAAGCAGGCATTGACATGTCAAAACGTGATAATTGTCGCGGCCGCTTGACACCGCTCAGTGACATCTGAATGCCTTCGCACTGAAACTGCTCCCTGTCGCTATGACCACTCTAGCAGACTAATTGTCTGCAGTCACCGAATTAATAAACATTAAACATGGTTCTGACGGCAACAGACAGCTTAGTGCGTAAATCAATTATATCTGTCTATTTATCTATAGTCCTTTCTCGGACCTTGACCTCTTTTTTAGTTTCTTAATCCTATACACAGTCGGTAGGACTCCTTGAACGGGGGAACAGCCCGTCGCAAGGCCGCTACCTACACACAGAATAAACGTACACTGACATCCATGCCTTGAGTGGGACTCGAACCCACGATCACAATGCTCGAGCGGGCGAAGACGGTTCATGCCTTAGGCCGCGCGGCCACTGTGATCGGCTGCGTAAGGTAAATCAATTACTAAATTACACTTCGTCGTCGACTTACGACCGACTTGGCCGCGCCAAAGCTCAAGCGGTTAGTCGGTAGCTTCCCACCGCGGCGGCCCGGATTCGATCCCGGGTCTGGTCAAGTGGGATTTGTGGTGGACAAGGTGTCGCTGGGGCAGGTTTTCTCCGAGTACTTCGGTTTCCCCTGCAAATCTTCATTCCACCAATTGCTCTCACAATCACCCTCACCTATCATCTGGGGCTGGTACAAGAAGTGGCCGCAGTACAAGGGACTTAATCCCACCCCACTAGCAATAAAAAAAAATACGACCGACTTCCATTCCGACTGACAGGTCGTAAGTCGATCTGATCGTATGTCAGCCATATATTTATTAACGGTATTTTTAACCTTTCTAATCTTTTTATCAACTTTATGGTTTATTTTTAAAAACTTTTACATGTTAATCAACTTTTATTTTTCATTTTTTTGTAGTCGTAAGTGCGGCCGGTCTAAGTCGCATACGTCGTAAGTCGATGACCAAGTGTAATACGCGTATGGATATTACGGAACTTGAAGTGTCCCCTTGCTTAATTAATTAAGCACTATGCCATAAAGACGTATGGGTGAGTGCAGTTATACCTCCACCATTCTTGATCTCGGCAGTAGATGGAGGTGAGTGGTTAGTTTCATTCCCCTGCCGCTTTATGCCCAGAGGTAGAAGCCACGGTGACCATTGAACAGGAGGAGGCTGCGACCCTCGGTGCGTAGTCGTTTCAATACTTCCATTTCACGAATCATACACCGGCTCTCCAGACTGAGATATGTTTGTGGTTCTCCTCAGTCGCTCCAGACATGTGCTAGGACAATATCTCAGATTAGGCCATGACCACATCCTTCCACGTCATTTGCAGTTCACTGTTCACTATCATCCCACCGTTCAACGCTGTGTTATCTGAGCTACTGAATTTTTGAGGAACACAGATAAATAAATAAACCTAATAATAGTGTCTGTACATACGTAGGTCCCTTCAAAACTTATGAAATGTAGCGAAAAAATGTAGATACGATTGCTAAAAGAGATGTATAAATTTATTACGTAATAATCTTAAAGTTTCCTCTCATCTCACTATGTAGCCAGCCACTGGACCCTATCCTGAACCAGATTAATCCAGTCCAAATAACTGCATACTATTTCTTTAAAATATATTTCAATATTATACTACGTCTGGGCTCTATATGCGTAATGTATCTATAGAAAGTGTTTGATGAGAGAAATACTGAACAATGGAAAATAGCTAAAATACATGTAGGGTCTGAGGTTCTCACAGCAGTATTTATGAAGAGTTCTATGTCCTGGCATATGACGCCGTTTAGTCCACTGAAAGCCAACTGACGTTTTGGGGAAACATGTATCCACCCTGTTCAGGGTCGAAAAATAAGCCAAGCAAGAAACCAGCCTGAAAGCAGGTGGGTAGCAGGCTCTGTCTTTGTTGACTTATTTTTTAATCCTGAAGATAGAGGCAACATGATCCTCCGAAACGTCGTTAAATCCCAGAAGTACATTTCGAAAGTAATAATCAGGCCTATAGACTTTCATTGCGACTATAAATGCCTATGCATCAAGAGTCACGAGAACGTATCTGGTGATGTGTATATTTGGAACATACCTGAACCTTCATTTTGTGTAGTGATAAGAAATATGTGAGAACGCACATGGATCTCTGGCTCATTTACCTCTTTAATTCTCAAATCTGATGATATCAACTCGCTTCTAATCCTATTTTAAACCAATTTATGTAAATCACATTCATTATGTGCTCTGCACGTGTTTCAGCATATAAGCTTATACATAATCGAATGATTCGATGGTTAATGAATAAGAAAGGATATGAAAGGAAGTGGTCGTTGCCTAATCTGAGGTACTAACCCGGCATCGGGACTCAAGGAAATCGTTAGAAACCCAAGTCATGATAGCCGGTGTCTATGCTGAACCTTGAACGTGGGATTTACCGAATACGAACCACTCCACCATGAAAGACTGTGAGAGGCTGTTAGTTTTGTTTAATGTTGCGGAAGCACAGAAGCGTCGGATCACCAAGCGAACAGCACTGTACAGTACACAAACAAACGTGCCTCCAAGCTGCGTGGGTAGCAGAGCTGAGGTTCCCACAGCCGTAAAGAGTCGTGTTGTGACAGCCGCGTGGTCTAGTAGGTCGTTATCTTTTTATTATTATTATTTCTTCGGGTGGGCTGAGACTGAATCCACTTTGTATGGCGGTTAATACTCCTATTGTACCAGCCCCGGATGATAGGTGAGTTTGAAGCGTTTGGAGGAATGAGGACTGTCAGGGGAAACCGAAATACCAGGAGAAAGCCTGCCTCAGTGTCACTCTTTTTTTTTTTAACAAATTAAACACGACCTGATCTGGGATCGAAATCGGAGACTAACAGCCTGAGCTATGTCACGGCCAGCATGATAGGTTGTCACTTCTATCTTGAACACTGAGGCAGTAAGTCCCTTTGAAACACCCATAAACATCTAGCACAGCAGTTCCCAAACTTTGTGACATGTCACCTCCCTTTTGGTTTTTACGACACCCTCACGCACTCACCCTCCGCAAATTCTTTTTATTCAGATAAATGTAACCTTTGTATTCGTAGTTGTGTCATTGTTTAAGATCAAGTACTGCAAAGTTGTCCCTCGGCTTAATTAAGTACCACTCCATGAAGACAAATGAGGGAGCGGAGGTATAGCTCCACCATTTTTGACCTCGGCAATAGATGGAGTTAAGTGGTCAGCTACTCACCCCGGCCGCTTTACTTTCAAGGAAATAGCCTCTGGTACCCATTGGAAGTGGGGCTGATGGGGCCTAGAACTGTAGAGAAAAGAATCTCTTATTGCTTTCGTGATTAGAACCCGGGTCGTCCAATCCTGATCCCGTCACTATACTGAGTGAGCAATCGCGCCTTCTGTTTATAGTCAAATGACTAGTAGTTAGTAAAAGTAAAGCCATCCCTGTATCAAGCCGTGAAGGCCCATAGAGTTGTGAAACGTTCAGGGTCCCACATTATGTAGACAATCGGCTCAAAGATGGCGGTAAGGCCTTACGCGCCGGCCGCCCTTTACCCCCTAGGAAAATTATTTAATTAATTCCTGGTACTCATTTTTGTTAGAGGCTGAGTGAACCCCAGGGTCATAATGCGGCTGGAAGGATTATGTCAATTGAAAAAAATCCAATGACCTCATTGCGATTTGAACCCACGACCTTCCGGCTTGTAGTATAGCCCCTCAAGCAACTACGCTACCGCATGCCCCGAATAGTAATTAGTGCCGTATCAAAACTGTGGGTAAGACTACGTCTTTAAATGAAAATACTTGGTGCTCTTTAATTGGCAAATTAAAGATGCCCACAAATACCAAACTATATTAGCTCTAAGCTTTTTAACGTCTTCATTAATAACACAGGTTTGCAGACCTGTGTAATTAGTATGCATGCTTAGGAGAGGGACGGTCACATGCCCCTAAATGGAACTACTTCAACTGAATCTGACAGTAAAAACTGATTGTTTTCATGGTCTCACAACCCCTCAGCCGGGGGGGGGGCATTTTGGAACTAATGACCTACCAGAATACAAGGCGTCACTCCCAGAAGACCTATAATTTTCAAATACAAACGCTTTTTGTACATGAGTAAGACCTTTAGAAACTCGACTCTCGAATCCGCAAGAACATGAGAAGCCCACGAAGTGCGTGGGCCTCACTTGCAGGACTTGGCATGACTTCCCTGCAACGGCGTGCCGTACGGCATGAGGATGGCTTCTCTCTTCAGGTGCAAGAGATGCGAGGCGTCTCTGATTTCCTTTCCGGGCTTTGGACTGTGTTCTTCTCGCTTATGACACTGTGTAGTCTGGTAGATATCAACGTTTC